TAAGCTTTCGTGGACTACAGCTGTAGTCCACGAAAGCTTATGCTCTAATAAATTTGTTAGTCTCTAAGGTGCCACAAGTCCTCCTGTTCTTCTTTTTCCTTTGATAGTGTTCACAAAATGGTATGTTTTCTATAGTAACTATTTTAGAAAATGATAACAATAATTAGTCATTCCCAGTGTTGCTACTAGGTTTTATAGTTGTAGGGAGTGCTCACAAATGCCAAAATGCATGACAGTGCTGCTGTTGGATTTTAAACCAAAATCTCTGGTCTTGCCGAATCTTTAATTCAAACTTTTAAAATGTTAAAGGGTATTTAATGAGATTTAGGATTTAGAAGATACAGGTTTAAAAAATCATTACTTTGAGGTGTTTTAAAGAAACTTTAATTCTATTAACCCATTCCAAGTGCAATGGAATGATATTTTTAGAATAGTTAGGTATATTATTTTAGAAACATTCTAAAGCATTTCAGCTCAGAAAAGGGATGATAGTTATTTCTTCCCAGGCAATTTATCAAAGGGAGCAAATTAAATATTAAAATGTGATTTTAAGAGTTGTCTTTGTTTTATGAATAACGTTTGAGTTTTGTCTTTTTTTAAGAGTGTCATTGCTCATTTGCTTAAAGTTAGAAGAGCTTAAATAAGACTGAAATCAAATTATAAATGGCTTGATCCCACAGTCCTTATTCAGGCAGCACTTCCACTGAACACAGAAGGGATTTTGCTTAGTAAGGATTTAGTGATCAGACCTTTTTATGTATGCAGTATTTTTGGTGTACTGTTTGACATTAACTGGTTATGTAGATGTTTGTTTTCATTTTCTCCTTTGGTCACTGAGGGTGGATCTTCCCATTGCTTACAAGTCTCAATTCATATCCTCTTCTGCTTGCTTTTGGATTAGGATATTGTGGCTCTAGTTTAAGAAAGTTTTGGAAAGCAATAGTCTCTTGTACATAGTCAGGGTCAACCACCCACTAGGTCCATCTTAGGGATCAAAGAATACAATCAAACAGGTTCTGTATGCAAGATCGTATTTACCCAGAGTAAAATTCACTTTCCCCGACTAAGTCAGAGTAACTGGACTTTTTGTGGATAGAATACCCAGAATCTGGTGGTGGAGAGAAATATACTCCCAACGAGGAGCCAGGTCTCCACAGCTTCTCAGCTGTTACTCTAGTTTATGGGCTTGCACAGCGTTTGAGGGACATTGGGTCAGCAGAGGTTAAGGGAAAAACAGGAATGTCTCCCATGACAGATTCTCTGGGCTCCAACCTGGAATTGGAGTACCGCTGCGCCCTCTGTCTCACCAACCTGGGCTCCCTCTCACACTGTGGTGCTGTGACAAGCTGCAAAACCCTCTAGGTCCTGAACTTACACAGACATCCACGGGTAGGGACACACCCAGCTGAGTTACATGAATGCTTTTGCCAGCAACTCAATAGCTCCAACCAATTCCCCATAGATCCCCAGCCTAGGACCCCAGAGCTATACTGTCTTGCCCTGGTCAGATGCCTGACAAGTGTAATTTTTTATTACCCAATCTGCCCCTCCCGCAATGTGGAGAGGACATGCACCAGTTTTTGTTCCTGAGCAGATTCCCCAAGTATTTGGCACAAAACACCGTTTCAGGTAAAATATAAAGCGGATTTACTAACTACATAAAGGTCAATTTTAAGTGATTATAAGTAGTAAGTGTACAGATCAAAGCTGATTACCTAAGAAATAAAAGTAAAACCGCAATCTGAGTTCTATAAACTAGACAGGATTTGAATCAAGCAGTGTCTCCTCCTGATGGCATTGTTCCTTAATACGCAGGCTGGAATTCTCCTTTCCAGCCTGGGACCACCTTCCTAGTTCAGTCTTTGTTCTCCAGACATGTTTCCAGGTGTTGCGTTATGGGGGAAGTAAGGATAAATGATGTCCCTTCTGCTCCTTTATAGGTTCCTCCAGCTTGCTGGAAAGATCTTTTGCTATGACTGAGTCAAGCAGTGTCCATTGTTTACGTGCTTCCACTGAGAAGCCTTCATTGTACACAGATCCTGTTATGATCCTTAGTAGTGTGGATTCTCCTTAATGGGCCATCAACACCATCTGGCTTCTCCATTGTTGTTCCAGAAAGACTGGTTGTGGGTGTTTCCAACTTCCCAACATATTTGAGTAACATGCACATAGCAGAACTTTGTAACTTCCCACACCATGATAGCACGTACAATCCAACAGGATATTAATATTTAACAGGCCAAGACCTTTTAAATGATACCTCACAAGGCATACTTTGTACAAACATATAATTATATGATAGTGGTGAATATGGGGATGCCAGGCAGGTGTTTGGAGTACAGTGTGTCACATCTCTATATCCCCACATAATGATGAGGGGGTCCCCATGCAGGTCTTGCATAAATCAGTCATAATGGGGCAAGTAAAGAGAGGGGCCACGACATCCTTGTTCATGTGGATCTAATGTAGAGTTTGAATTGTGTAGAGGACCTTGTGCTGGCCCTTAACCCAGGTGAATTTCACTCCAAGGAAATAGTTCCCTCAAGCTTATTTCCATCCATCTCAAGAAGGTATCTCAATAAGACTGTGTTTTCTCCATCAGTGTCAAGGTGAACTTCAAAATGTCAGCACACAAAATATGAACTCAAGGAACGTAGTAGTCTAAAATGCAATGTAACATGACAATCCACCTGATTGTATATCCCACTGGTGCCTTACCTACAGTGTTTACCTACACCTCCAAATGCCCTGTCATGTGTCATCTGTGCTGGTTCCTCCATCCTTTCAACTTCTGCTTCACAAATAGCCCTGATTTTGATGGGAGTTAGACACCTAAATACCCTAGAATAGCGATCGGCAACCTCTGGCACGCGGGTAAGCACCCTGGCAGGCCGGGCCAGTTTGTTTACCTGCTGCGTCTGCAAATTCGGCCAATCACTGCTCCCACTGGCCATGGTTCGCCGCTCCAGGCCAATGGGGGCGGCGGGAAGCAGTGTGGGGTGCCAAAAGTTGCTGATCCCTGCCCTAGAAGATCTGGGCCTTCGCCTTGCTGTGCTTCAGCACCTCAATTTTACATTGAGGATAAATATTTAGTTACATCTCGAGTGATACGAGGATAAATACAGTAATAGAAAATTAGGAATATAGGAGTTGCTCTTCTGGATCAAACCAATGGTTCCTCTTGTCCACTATCCTATCTCCCATTATGACTAGTACTAGCTACTTCAGAGGAAGAAACCCTGCAGTAGGCAGCTATGGGATAACCCACCCCAGGGAACATTTCCTCTTAGCCCCTGGTAGCTAGAGATAGGTTTATGCATCAAAACTTGAAGGTTTATATCCTTTCCAAAGCTCTTGTGTATTTTTTAAAATTACTATTCTAATTTGATACTCTTATTTGTATAAAGCTCTAATCCATTTGGAATCCTGCTAAACTTTTGGCCTCTGATAACTTGTGGCAATGAGTTCCAAAATCTGAATGTTATGTGAAAATATTTCCTTTTATCAGTTTTGAATCTTCACCCCTTATATACCACTGAATTTGTTCTTGTAATATGAGACCGAGATTGGGAACTTCCAGTCACTCTACTATTTATTAATATCAGCTGGTTCTTCTTTATCCACTATTTTATTGACCCATTCAAAGAATTCTAACAGATTAGTGAGGCTTGATATTCCTTTGCAGAAACGATGCTGGTTAGTCCCTTTCATATCCTGATTTTCTAGGTGTTTTATAATTAATTATGGTTGCAACCCATTTGCTGGACTTTTTGGTCTAGAAGTCACTAATCACCCCCAAGGCCTTTTTTAAACATTTTTGTGTGGTGCTAAGATACTATGGTAACATGGGCCACACGAATAGTTAATAAAATAATCTCTCAATTTGGCTTTTCAGCAAGGTGTCCATTTTTAAAGGGACAGTGCCTTTTAATTTTCATCTGATCACCTTCATACTAAGGGGAGAATCTTTTGACCTAAACTGATATGTGGAACGCTACTGTGATTCTACTTGAAACATATTGAATCAAGTGTTTTGTCTGGAAGTTGCTCACATGATTGTAGTGTTTGGAGTTGACAGTGTTTTGTTTCTGAGATGACTGTCTTGCCTCTCACTATGAAAGTGACAGCATTTTGATCTGAACATTCCAAAAAAGTATTGGCTTAATTAGCAACAGAGGGTCCTGTGGCACCTTTGAGACTAACAGAAGTACTGGGAGCATAAGCTTTCGTGGGTAAGAATCTCACTTCTTCAGATGCAAGAAGAATTGCATCTGAAGAAGTGAGGTTCTTATAAGCTTTCGTGGGTAAGAACCTCACTTCTTCAGATGCAATTCTTCTTGCATCTGAAGAAGTGAGGTTCTTACCCACG